TAACCTACCAGTTGGAGCATCTGCCCCTTTGTGGTCAGTGCAGTCATAGCAACTGGTTAACTAGTTGACTGTCTGCCCCCTAGTGGTCAGTGCATGTCATAGCAAGCCGTTGAGCAGCCTTAGCATATCATTAGCATACTATGCTTTGATTGGTTGAACGGACAACTGGATGACCAGACACTTAGCATATTAGGCTTTTATCATATAGGATTTCTTAAATGTAATCATAATCATTTCATGGGTGTTTACCCATATTAGCAACTATAAATTATGTACCAACAATACATGACTATTGTATATCTCTATATATAAACGGCCAATATGCAAAGTGTCCCCTCAGGAGTTCGACCAGGAGACCAGGAGTTCGATCGCTCACTATGATGTGCACTGACCACCAGGGGGCAGCGCAGAATGAAGGAAGGCCCCGACTGGCCTTGATCGCCAGCCAGACCTAGGGACCTACCTTTGCACAAATTTCGTGCACTTGGCCTCTAGTCTCTCTCTCTCTCTCTCTCTCTCTCTCTCTCTCTCTCTCTATATATATATATATATATATATATATATATATGTATATATATATATATATACACACACATACATTTCTGTCTGCTATGTCCTTTTCATGTTTCAGATGTTCCTCTTTTTACTCTGTTTCCCACACTCACATCTTCCCTACTTAGTGAAACTTCTCAAATGAGTGACCTATTCACTTCACTACTACCTCATCCAAATCACTCCTGGAATTCTTCTCCGGAATCATTCTTTATTTTCTAGTCCCTCCCAGGCCTTTGTTTAGATATTAACAATTTTCACCTAGATGGCTACTGCAAACTCTAAGTTTGTCTTCTAGTCTCTTGGGAGCAGAAACTATGTCTTTTACTTCTATGTGCTTGTGATGTGTTCCAATAAAACTTTACTTACAAAACAGGCAGCTGTATTTGCCCCAAAGAAAGTAAAGCACAAATATTTGTAAACAAATGTTATGCAAATTTATTGATAAGAGCCATAAACTAGAAACTACCCAAATGTCCATCAATTGGTGAATGAATATGCAAATTGCAATGTATCCATAAAACATGATTACTGATACATGCAACAACATAGGTGAATCTCAGAAAGCATTATTCTAAGTGAAAAAAGCCAGACACAAAAGACTACAGAATATGTAATTCCACTTACATGAGATTTTAGAAAAGACACAAGTGGAAAAAGGCAGATTTAGTGACTCTCAGGGGTTAGGGATAGAAGGAAGAGATTGACTGTAAAGGGATACGTAGGAACTTTTCAGGATGATAGAAATTTTTTATATCTTGATTTTGCAGATGTTTACATAAGTATTTACATAAGTATATATATATTTGTCAAAACTCATCAAATTGTACACTTAAAATGATGAGTTTATATCTATGAGGTGTTTTTTTTTGCTTAATCCCTTCACCTTTTTTACTCAGTCCCCTAACACCCTCCCCTCTGACAGCTGTCAGTCTGTTCTCTATATCTTAGACTCTATTCCTATTTTGTTTGTTTATTTTGTTCATTAGATTCCACATATAAGTGAAATCATATGGTATTTGTGTTTCTCTGGCTGGCTTATTTTACTTAGCATAATACTCTTAAGGTCCTTCCATGCTGTTGCAAAAGGTAAGTTTTCCTTCTTTTTTATGGCTGAGTAGTATTCCATTGTGTAAATGTAACACAGCTTTCTTATCCACTCATCTACTGATGGGCACAGACAACAGTATGGTGATCACCAGAGAGAAATGGGGGTTGAGGGAAGTAGAAGAGAATAAAGGGGGAATAAATGGTGACGAAAGGAGACTTGACTAGTGTGGTGAATACAGTAAAATGTATTATAGAATTGTACAGTTGAAACCTACATAATTTTATTAACCAATGTCACCCCAATAAATTCAATAAAATTTTAAATGTTGATTGTTTTATGTTAATTATGTCTTAGTAAAGCTGATTTTTTATTGTCAATTATCTGGAAAAATTGTTAACAGGGATAGATTTGTGATTTTCATTAAGTCAGTAACTACTAATAATAATGAAAAAGTTTTCTATAAAATATTTTTAGAACTTTGTATTTATATAAATATTTTTATTTAGAATTTTATGTTCTTGAAATGCCATTTGTGTTCTTTTGTCCTGCTTAATTCTTTGGTATCTACAGGATGACAAAAACTTAGAGTTCATATTAGGCATACCTATTTGAATTATTGTGTGTTTTTTGTGTTTGTTGTTGTTGTTTGAAGCACTGAAGATCTCTAAACAATCTTCTAAGATATTATACTCCATTTTATGAACATCAAACAAAAAGGACCTATAAAAACCCTATTACATTCAAAGAGTATATATAATAAACTCCTCCTTCAGGGCAGAAAAATGCCAAGGATTTATATAACTGATTTAGCAAAACAGTATAAAATATTAGTTGTCACATTTGACAGAACAATTAAAATCATAGGCTGAGAGGTAATTCTGACATTAGACTCTGTTTACCAGTAAAAAGCCATAAATTCTTAAGTCATGGTACCAGAAGAAATTCAGTCATACCAACTAGCTTTCTTTTGCTAAACTCTACTCTTCCCCCGTCCCAGACTCTAAGGTACTAATTAGGGCCACAGAAGAGGTCCCACAGATGAAACATACATTAGGAGCCCCAGGAACCAATAGCTGCTACCCACTGATACCTGGAGAGATAATGGACTGCATTTCCCTCCACATCATGTACTGGATGGGACCTTTGTACAGGCCCAAGTTCAGGTTTCTGGAGATAAGCTCCCTGGGTGTCAGCACTTTCATTCCTTTCTCCAAGCTGCAAGAAACATAAATAATTTATTTTAGATATTCTCCAGGGACTGAAGATAGGGTAAAAATACCATATGGAAATACCACTTACCTATCTAAGAAAGGTGTGATGTCCTAGAAGAGGAAAAGAGAAATAGAGAAGTTAGATGCCTGTTCATCAACTGCAGAAATTTCTTTGGTGATACTGGCCATCACTGGAATTTGATTGTCAATACTGGGACCCATCACCACCTCTCATCCTCCATATGTGTTTTCTGATCTGCCTCCTTCATCTAACCCAAGATAAACTGGTCTTATCTTGCTCTTATTTTCTAGCTCCCTTTTACATGGAATAAGAGAGAAGTTAAGGTTAGGCTACATTTCCCTATACTGCCATAGTCTCAGGAGAATACAAGAGGTCAAGCATGTCAAACTCGCGGCCCGCGGGCCACATGTGGCCCACAATGAATATTTTTGCGGCCCAGCCAATATAACAGTATGTAAGAAACGTTTTAATAAAAATTTTGTAACTTAATTTTTATAATATCCTGTTATACATAATTAATAATGAACTACAATGTTTGCTAATGACTGATTACTATAATCGTGTTGCATTCATTTCCCTTACGCGCCTTACACACAGGTGCATCATTTCTCTCCACTAATACTAGCAGCGAATATTTTAGCACCCAATTGCCACGTCATTAGTCTTGTACTGACTTGTTTGGTGTGCACAACAGGAAATACTTCGCTTACAGAGAGCAAGAAAAATAGGTTTATTTGTGTTACACTTGTTAATTTGTGCAGTTATTCAGTATCTGGTAAGTTAATGTTCAAGAAAAAAATATTAATTTTTATTAAAATGTTCTATTATTTTATGTTAATGATTATTCATTCATTTCAGCCCTTTGTATTCAGCATGTTTCTATTGAAATAAACCTACATTTCTATGAAAATTGAAGTTTTTGTTTTTTTTTGCAGCCCACATAAACTTAAACCTTGTTTATTTGGCCCGTGTTAGCCTTTGAGTTTGACATGCTTGCAGTAGGTATTCTCACCCCAAGGCCACTTTTCCTTACTCTGGCTAGTTAAGCTACTGAATGCTGAAGTGGTAACCAATGCCACATTAGAAGTGAACTTTCAATGACCAAATATTGACAAATAGCTTTTCAAACAGATCAATGTATGATTTCTGAGAACCAAAGATACAGCTTAGGTTGCAACATTTTATTTTTAAGAAATAAAGCTTCAAAAGTTCTTTATGAAGAAATATTAAAATATTAATACATACGGTTATTTTTGGAATTTTATTGTCTTCTTTTCTAGGAGGGTGAAAGGAAAGCTTTCTATTGAGTGTAAGGCAAAAGTAGCTTCCTGCTTTTCTCCCAGAGAATTTTTAAAATTTTTTTTTGATTGTTGACATTATTACAGATGTCCCGCATTTCCCCCTTTGCCTCCCTCCACCACCCCTGGCAGGTTTTTTCCCCTTCATTGTGGGGAAAAGCTGCTTCTATATCCTTTCTGGCCCTCTTTCCCCTAGTAGCATACCCAGTCATTGATATGGAGTCTTACTTTGAGAAAGTTGAAGGAGTTCTGCTCTTCCATCCTTGCCTGGAGGCTCACCAACATCTCCTTGACTAGGAGATACTGTTCCTGAAGCTGGTTCAGATTCAGCTCCATTTCCTCATTCAAGACTTTCCCTTCTTGCCGAAGCTCATTTAAAATGTCCTTTTCTTTGCCGTGCAGAAATTGATGCAGCTTTAGAAACTCCACGGAGATGTGCTGCTGCAGATGTAGCTTGTTGTCCTGGAAACCTCCATGATCATCACCAGGGTAATTCCTGAGACTAGCTCTTGGGGATGGGGGCCCACACCAACAATACTCACACAACTTGGGAAATACCATAATAGGAAAATGCATAAAAATGCAGTATCAACATTGAGCCATACTAAAAGGAGCCTCTTTTGTGGCAGATGGGGAGACTTACTCCATCTTTCTCAGCTAGTTTAGCAATTCAGGATGAAATAGTCAAAAGTAACCTGCAGGTTCCTATTGCAGTACTGAGGTGGTAACCATTGCCATGTGAAATAAGACTCTGGGTTAATCAAACATTCTAGAATGAATGATAATACTCTCCTACCCACATGTATAAGCCAATATCTACCAAGTGATACTGTTAGACTGGGGTCATAAGGAAGTGGAAAGAAATATCCTTCTCGAGAAATCAAAACATCAGAACTGGGGGGGTGGGAGGGGGCACTCCTGCTGCCAAGACAATATAAAAGAAGAGATGGGAGCCCTAGCCAGAGTGGCTAAGTTGGTTGTGCATTGTTCTATGCACTGAAAGGTTGCTGGTTCAATTCCCTTTCAGGGTACATGCCCAGGTTGTAGGCATGCAGGAGGCAGCCCATTGAAGTTCCACTCTCACATTGATGTTTCTCTCTCTCCCTCTCCCTTCCTCTCTCTAAAAAAATCAACAAAAATATTTTTTTTAAAAAAAGAAGAGTTGGGAAATGTTTGAAGCACTAAAATTGATAACTGATATACTTGCAGCTCTTTTCTTAGATGACCTCAACATCCTCATAGGTGAGTCATCTGATATCCTGGCTTCTTGATTCCTTATTCTCATTTCTAGTGATTTCCACCTTTATCTATTAACTAGAGGCCCGGTGCACAAAAATTTGTGCACTGGCGGGGTGGGGGTATCCCTCAGCCCAACCTGTGCCCTCTCACAGTCTGGGACCCCTCGGGAGATAACCACCTGCTGGCTTAGGCCCGCTCCCCGGGTGGCAGATGACAGGCCCGGATGGCAGTGGGGCATCCCACCTGTAGTATGCAAATTTAACGGCCATCTTTGTTGGGTTAATTTGCATACTCTTCTGATTGGCTGATGGGGTGTAGCGAAGGTATGGTTAATTAGCATCTTTGTCTTTTATTAGTGTAGATTCTTAGTTACACTGAGGATTTTATCATCCCCAGTAATTTCACCATCTCCAAAATTAACTTTTTACTCAGGTATCCCTATTGCAATTTTGGGTCTCATTGAAACCTGTGTATTGACCCCTTCGTTTCTATTTCTTCAACTTCTTCTGTCTTTATGTCCCTTTTTTATCTTGATGGATTCTATGGTCCATCATTGTTATTGTACTCTTAAAATAGTCTTAACTCTCTCTTTCCTCTAGCTCAGTGGTCGGCAAACCATTAGTCAACAGAGCCAAATATCAACAGTACAACGATTGAAATTTCTTTTGAGAGCCAAATTTTTTAAACTTAATCTATATAGGTAGGTATATTGTTATTAACTTAATTAGGGTACTCTAAGGCTTAGGAAGAGCCACACTCAAGGGGCCAAAGAGCTGCATGTGGCTCTCGAGCCGCAGTTTGCCAACCATGGCTCTAGCTCATACTTTTCTAGTTTTCCTTTCACCGCTATTTCTTAGTCTTACTTGTTAGTTCTATAGTTACTTGATATTCTGTTATGGGCTCTTTTTCCTTCTCATTCTATATCCAACTGTCTATTTGACAGCTACACTCACACCTAACATCTAATAAATCACTCCATCCAGATTATTATTTTTTTAATCTCCAAAGCATATGCTGAGGCTGTTTACGTCTTTCCATCTCCATTGCCTCTCTAGACCAAGCTACTATCATCATTCTATGGCAGTGATGGCGAACCTATAACATGAGTGTCAGAGGTGACATGCGAACTCATTTTTTTGGTTGATTTTTCTTTGTTAAATGGCATTTAAATATATAAAATAAATATCAAAAATATAAGTCTTTGTTTACTATGGTTGCAAATATCAAAAAATTTCTATATGTAACACGGCACCAGAGTTAAGTTAGGGTTTTTCAAAATGCTGACATGCCGAGCTCAAAAGGTTCACCATCACTGTTCTATGGGGTCATGTGGTAGCTTTCTAACCATTATTCTTGCCATTGTCTCTCTTAACTCATTCTCCACACAGCCACTAGACTGAAATTTTCAAAATGAAAAGTATTTCTTTGGACATAGCTATCTTTAGTGAATTTGCCATAGATAAATTTCTTATTTTGCCATAAATAAGAGGAAAGACCAGAGAAATCACAACCCCACAAAAATCACCCAGCAACTGAACCATCAAAAGGAAGAGCATATTAGGGGAAAGGCCATTGTATTCTCCCTGTTCATCAACTATAGGGAACTTGCTCTACTGCTATCTTCTTTTCCACCCTACTGTGTCCATTCTTTAATTTTATAACCCAAGTTTCATTTAGTGTATTAACACTATATGTATAGTTACCTTTCCACCCTAATAACTAAGGTTATAAGGAGGGTGTATTCTAGTTCTGTCTCATAACCCCCTACCCTGCTCCTCACCTTGTAAGCAGCAATAGCGTCTCTCTGCCTGTTCCTCAGGGACTGAAGTTCCTTCAGGGTTGCCTCCAGTTGATCCTTAATGATGATAAACTCCTCCTGGGAATACCGCATAAATTCAACCCATACTGACTTGGGAGATGAAGGGCCATAAGGGACATCTCCCCCAAAGCACTAGTATGTCAGAAAAAAAAGCCAGCTCTTGCTGCAAGAGTCTTTCCTTTCCCCCATGTCATAGTTCCTGTCTCTTCCAAGAATAGTGAAGGAAATTACAAGCGGCAGAAAAACTTAGGTTTTTTTCTTTTTACCTTCTTAGTTAACTACAGGGGTTTGAGGAAGGTAACAGAACTCTATACATTTTCTACCCTAGTTACACTGTTCTAACTATACCTTTATTCACGTTGTTCTCACTTAGAATACTTATTTCTTCCTTTTGTCCCTCCAAATCCAAATGATTTTCCCATTCAAACTTTCTTTCACCATACATCACCTGAATGTTTCAATTTTTTCTAATCTTTTCTGAAATTCTAAACATTTATGAATTACTAGTGTGACAAAATTTAGCTCTCAATAGTAAACTCTAAAATTACTTCTGTTGTTTTTTTCATTTTGACTAAATTTCAAGAGTTTTATAACAAGAGCAATATTGTATGCATTCACGTTCTGCATGGTGTCTCATAGAGCACTGTCATGGCAGGGTTTCGGTAAGTATTTGATTAATTGGCTAGAAGGCTACAGCTTCTCCACTACTCCTTTCCCATATTAGCACCTCTAGAGAAAGAACATTGTAAGATATATTTTCTGAGCATTCTGGTCTTTCTAATAATCATCTGAGTAAAGGGGTGAAATTGGAAGAGAGAAGTCCTACAGAAAATATTTTCCCCAGCTCTCCTAACAGATTGTTCAAGGCTCACCTACCGTGAAGAAATGGACAGCATCAGAGATCTGCAGGAACTCTTTAGACTCCCCCCCAGACAACCGAGCATCTTTGCACTGAAAGCAGATCAGCTTCCCTTCCGGCTTACTGAACAATTTCAGGTTCTCTCCATGTTCTGGGCACTGTGGATGGCCCTTGAGTAAGGGTAGGTCCTTAATCTTGTCTACCAGCCTCTCCAGTACAAGGTTGAATGCACAGTTGGCATGTTGACACATCATCTTACACTTAGGACAGAATGTTTCCTTTGTTCGCTGCTTCCAAAAGTTTTGAATACAGGCCTGGCAGAAGTTGTGGCCACAGGTTAGCATAAGTGGATCCCGGAACCAGTCATTACACAGTAGACAGTGTAGCTCCTTAGTAATATCTTGTATCTGCACTTTAGAGGGTATCTGAGTGATCAAATCATTTGCTTCAATGTAGTTGCCTTGGTCAGTGTTGGAGGAGGTTTTGGGAGACACCTTTGGAAAAGAGCAGTTAAAATGAGTTCTCTTTCTAGCTATCCACTCCAGGATAGTGGACTCCACTCCTAAAGAAGTTGAGAATTGGTGCAGCCAAAGTAAAAGCACCATAATCTCTTCTTTGAAAATGATCTGATAAGTTTTGTAACATCATCATTTATTACTACTTTCAACACCATTGAAACTTTAGTAGAGAACCAAGATAGAAGAAAGAATACTCAACCAAAGAAATATGTTTTGTTGTACATCCCCCCTCCACTCACTTTTTTTATGTATCAGTTGAAAGTTTTACCTTCAACTTCTGTTCTCCTAGTTATTACCTTTTTTTGTTTTGGGTTCTAGAAGTCAAGTACAAAGAATTAGAAGATCAATCAGATTCCTCAGTCAAAGGCATAGTATCACTCAGGCCTTCTGCTCTATTTTTTATTTTTGTTAATCCTCACCCAAGGATATTTTTTTCCCATTGATTTTTAGAGAGAGTGGAAGGGACAGGGAGGGGGGGGGGCGGAGAGAAAAAAAGAAACATCAATGTGAGAGAAACACATCAATTCATTGCTTCTCGCACATGCCCCAACCAGGGCCAGGAAAAGAACCTGCAAGCCAGGTACATGCCCATGACCAAGAATAGAACCCATGACCTTTTGGCCCGCAGACCTACACTCTACCACTGAGCCACACTGGCCAGGGCCTGCCCTCCTTTAAGAAAAATTACACAAATAACATTTATACAGAAAAATGCAGAATCTTACTTGTACAGTTCAATGACTTCCAACACTAAACATTAGTTTTGCCTATTTTTTAATTTTATATAAATTTTGTGACATGTACTCTTGTTGCTGGCTTCTTTTGTCAACCTTATATTTGTGAGATTTATCCATATTGTTCCAAATATACACATTTCTCTTGGCTATACACCTGGAAGTGGATCATAGGATTGGCATATAGTATATAATGCCAAACTTTCTACACAGCCCCTAGGTTTGTCCCATATCTTTATCAACAGTAGATATACAGGGTATCCCAAAAAAGTGTATACACACAATACCTGTAGATTCCATTACATTTTGAAAATGAAATGTATTTCAATAAACACTGCCTTTATAATTATCCAAAGTTTATATACATTTTTTGGGGGACACCCTATATTTATTTTAGCCATTCTGGTGGGTATGCAGTAGTATTGCAATGTGGCTTTAATCTGCATTTGCCTGAAGACTGTGGATATTGGGACCACTTTCAGATGTTAATTGTCCATTTGCATTTCCCCATTTGTGAAGTGCCCATATAAGGCACATATTTTATTGTTAATTTGTCTTTTTATTTATTCACAAGAGTTCTTCACATATTTTAGATATAAGTTCTTTATCAGATACACATATTCCAAATTTCTATTGTCACTATGTGGATTGCCTTTTTTTTAAATTACTTTTGAACTTTTTTCTTTTTAAGCATAACACCACACACACACATAACACCACACACACACACACACACACACACACACACACACACACACACCATGCACACACCTGCACACAACTTCTCTTTGGGCACACAGCTGCTTACAGAGCAATGGAGGCCCTGTGGTTGGCTCAGAATCTTTTGGGAAGAGAATTTGAGAGTCCTGGACATGTGGTGTGTGATTTAAAGTCAGAGATAGATTAGGCTCCTTGGTCTCACGGACTCTTTGTCTTGTAAACAGGAACATAGCTGGAGGAGGGTCAGAGTAGGAGCCTCTGGAAAGGGACCTGTGTTGCCCAGGTCTAAGGGTGGTAATGCCTTTTTGTTCCATTTCACTCACCCTTATCCTATCTCATCTGAGCACCGTCCTTGGGTTAGGCCTGTCTCTGCTCTGGAACCAGCTAGGAGGGGCTGCCCTGAAAGAAAGTCTGGAGTTTCATCTCACAGGCCACACCTTTACCAGAACTAAATTCCTGAGGTCTCTGGGACCCCATGGGGCGTGTCTGATTCAGCTGTGTGGAGGAGCTTGTAATCATCATTGATTGCCCAGATTATCAGAATCTGGGCTCTGCTTTCTAGTTTGTTTGTTTTTTGCCAGAATTCCTGAAATGACCTTACCCACCCCAGATTCTGAAATGCTAGCATCCATTGTCCCCAGCACATACCATGTCCAGCTTTGTATTCTTACCTTCTCCTGGATGCTAAAGCTAAAAGGTAGAGGTTCAAGAGTATATAAATAGGGACTGAGATGAGACCACCTCAGAGGAGGAGGACAATTTTTTGTTGTTGTTGTTGACCCTTACCCAAGGATATTTTTTCCATTGATTTTTAGAGAGAGAGTGGAAGGGAGGGGGTGAGAGAGAGATATTGATGTGAGAGAGACACATCAATTGATTGCCTCCTGCATGCACCCTGACCTGGGGCCGGGGATTGAGCCTGTAACCAAGGTACATGCCCTTGACCCAAATCGAACCCAGGACGCTTCAGTCCATGGGCTTATGCTCTATCCACTGAGCCAAATCAGCTAGGGCTTTCTGTGTGTACTATTAATTAAGAATCGAACCCACGACCCTTCAGTGTGTGGGCCGATGCTCTATCCACTGAGAAACACTGGCCAGGGTAGTAGCAGGACAATTTTTATCATGGAGATAAGTATGTTTTAGGAAAGCATAATAGATGGGTCCCTGACACTTGACTAGGGAGTGTTGTCAAGGATGACATCCCATCGAGGATGTCTAAGATGGGACTTGAAAAATCAGATTGTCAGCAGAGGAAAGTGAGGAAGATTATTATGGAGAAAAAAATGTTAAATGTACAAATACTATTTTTTCCATTTGTATGCCATGCCTCCTAAAGGATAAAAAACTTAAATATAGCCCGGCCAGTGTGGGTCAGTGGTCGAGTATCGACCCATGCACTGAGAGATCACTAGTTCAATTCCCGGTTAGGGCACATGCCTGGGTTGCTGTGGGCTCAATCCCTGGTGGGAGCATGTAGGAGGCAGCCAATCTTTGTCTCATTAATGTTATTATCTCTCTCATTGTGCCTTTCTCTCTCTGAAATCAATAAAAATATATTTTTGAAAATAATAATAGACAGAAAACTTATTCTGAGGCAGAATCCCCGAGGATTGGTCCAAGGGTTATTCTCATGCTCTTGAAAGGGAAACAAGATTCAAAACTTGCTCTGACACTCAAGTCAATGGTGGAATTAAGAGAATCCAAATAATTCCAACCCTAAAACCAGGGCTATCCCCATCTGCTGTGCATGCCCTGGAGAATTTGAGTATTCAGAACTACTTTATTCCTTACTCCTAACCCTCTATTCCAGTGGTTCTCAACCTTGGCTGCACATTAGAATCACCTGGGAATCTTTTTAAAATCCTGATTTCTGGGCCTCATCCTCCGGAAATTCTGTTCTTTGTTAGCTAATGTTGTGGCCCCACCCCATAACAAAGAAACAAAATTTCCGGAGGATGAGGCCCAGAAATCAGGATTTTAAAAAGATTCCCAGGTGATTCTAATGTGCAGCCAAGGTTGAGAACCACTGCTCTATTCCCAGTTAGAAGTTTGCATTTGCCTCTATTCATGGGCTTAGTTCCACTCATATTCAGGTCTATTCTAGCTCGGGGAACAAGCATTTGCTCCCTAGTTCCCCACACTGCCTGTGTTCCTTATCCCTGACATCTTATCTCCCCAAACCTGGATCTTGCCAGCCTAGACCTAATATAGCCACTTTCCCTTTGAATATTACCTCTCCACCATTCTTTCCAGTCTCTGTTTCTGAAACTCCTATCAGACAAACATCAAAGCTTCTCACTCTACCTTCATTGTTCGTAGTTTCCTCTTCATATTTTCTAACTCCATAGCTCTCTGTGCTTTGTTCTGGACATTTTCTCCCATTCTTGTTTCATAGATGCTATTTATATTTTGTTTCTTTAAACATCTTTGAATGAGGTGAGTTTCTACTGAGTCAGCTATTTTCAAGAGACTTGCAAGAAGGTTGAGGCAGGGTCACAGTTGAGGCTATTTTCTTTAGGAAACAACTAGAGGCCCGATGCACAAAATTCGTGCATGGGGTTGGAGGAGGGTCCCTCAGCCCGGCCTGCAACGAAGCCAGTGTCCCTTACCCCAGCCTCCAGCCCGAGGTCCCAGCCCTCCCTTCGCATGGCCAGGGCCCCTCCCCTCCCTTCCCTTTGCATGGCTGGGGCGTGGACGCTGGGCTCGCATTGCCGGGGCGATGCAGCCAGTGTCCCGCCCCGGCCACTATGGGTGCCGCCATCTTTGTCATGGAGTGACAGTTAATTTACATATCACTCTTTTATTAGTTAGGATGTGTGTGAGTTTTTATAGCCCTTACTTTCCCCCATGATGGCACTGCAGGGTTGCTTACAATGTAGAGTCTATATCCTCCATTCTTCCTCACCAACAGACTTCTTCCCACAAATATGGCTTATTTGCCCTTGTTCAACTTCACTTTCCCTAATTTCTCAAATATTTGTGACAAGTGGGTGTAGGAAAGCTTCTATTTCAGCCTTGCCTGTTCTCGTTGTTCTGTACTAGGGGTTGTGCCTCTTGAGACACTTTCTTTGGAGAGCTAGGTCACTCTTGCTTTGTATAATACCTGCATGCCTAGGCATTTATTATCACAAATTTTGTGCAAGGGTAGGTTTCCTAGGCTTGGCCAGTGATCAGAGCTGATCCGGGTGAGGCTGATCAGGGCTGTGCTGGAGAGGAGGCGACAGTTGCTGGGCCGTCACGAAGGAACGGATGCCAGGTGCTGACACCGCCATCGTTGGCACCCTGCCATGGCGCGGTTCCCTGCCTCCCCCCTCCTCCCCTTTCCTCACCCCTGTGCTGCCAACATGGCAGGCAGGCAACGGGATTGGGGCCTGCTGGCCAGGGGGAGGGACAGGGCACAGGAGGTTGGCCACCGGCCCCAAGGAGGGAGCCGGCCTTCAGTCCCCCTGGGAAAGGGGCCACGTCTGCCGCCACCCACCCCAGGTTCCCCGTCTCAGCCCAGGGCCCGAAGACCCCAGCGGGGTCAGGAGAGGAGGAGATGGTCTCTGCCACCATGTGGTTCCCCGCCTTCCCCCCTCCTCCTTCCCTTGCTGCTGTGCACCACCGTGGTGGGTGGGCGGCAGGCGGGTGGTGGGCTGATTGGGGCCTGCTAGCTGGGGGGAGAAACGGGGCATGGGAGGATGGCCGCCAGCACCGAGGAGGGAGCCAGCCCTCGGCCCCACTGGGAAAGGGGCTATGTCCACCACCACTCACCCCTGGTTCCCCATCCCAGCCTGGGGCCAGCCCTGTTTGGGCAATTGGGGCCTTCCGGATGGGGGAGACACTGCAGGAGGTTGGCCAGTCAGGGGAGGTTGGCTGTGGGAGCACACTGACCACCAGGGGGCAGCTCCTGCATTGAGCATCTGCCCCCTGGTTGTCAGTGCGCATCATAGCATGGTCGTTCTAGTCACTTAGGC